ACTTGATCATTAAGGAGTGTGAGGAGAAATGGACCATAGATATGAAGGCTGTTTCAAGACTGAGAGAAAGGAGTGAGCGAAACAGGGAAGGGCCAGATATGACTCGAGCTATGGATGAGCTCTTAGAGCAAAGTGGCAGTATAATGGACTTCTTGATAGAGCAGCGGACCGAGATGGTAGAGAGGTTAGAGGCAATGCAGGCTGATTTGAAAAACAGATTAAAGGCAAGTGAGAAGAGAATGAAGAAGCGGTTTGAGAAGCTGAAAGAAGGCTTGGAGACTGAGGTAGCTGACAAGATGAGGAAAATGCAGAAAAAGCTGAACAAATACAAGACGGAGACTGAAAGATTGAGGACACAGATTGCATCCGTGGCTACCCGGAGCACACAGCCTACTCTTCCGGAGTAGGACAGGTTCTACCACCCTACTTTAGCTTCATATTTTAATTTTTTGCATCGGGAATAGTTTTTTATAATTTATAGTCTTATTTTTACACATGATCATTTCACTTGAGAACTGTTAACACATGAGATCATAGCCCGAATAATTTTAGTGATTGTTTATCATTTGATCATGGTACTTTGTTTTTGACTAGAAACAAGCAAAACCCTTTTTGGGACAACACTTTGATCACACAATCACTTTACGGAAATGACATAGGCCATCTTTTCTACACTCATGCTAGCCACTTGCACCCTTTAAACACTTTTTACCTCACATAAACGTCAATGAGGACATTGTCATATTCAAGTTTGGGGGAGGAGTTTACATAAGGACATAAAGTCAATACAAAAGAGCAAAGCTCTAAATTGATTCCTTATCACATAAAGGGTATTCAAAACACAACAGAAGTCCCATAGGGGCTATGTGTTTTACAAAATGATATGAAATGGCACAACAAAAGTCCCATAGGGGCTATGTGTTTTAGAAAATGATYTGAAATGGCACAACAAAAGTCCCATAGGGGCTATGTGCACACTCCAAGCAAAAGAGGCCAAAGGCCCAAAAATTTGAAAAATTTATGTGGAGTATATTTGAAAAAGGCTATGAGAGAAAAGATTCGCCAATGAGAGAATACCCCTTTAAGCCCTATTGATCCTAATATGGTGATTGTGTTTGAACTTGACAAAGAAAAGGTAATGCTAGCCTATGGTTTATACAAAGAACTTGGTTTTGAGTAACACATCTTAGATTTATAAAAGGCTATGAACATCATGATGCTATAACTCTCTTTGGGAAGGCAYTTAATGCCTWRATCATGCATTTTAGTTTATATTGAGTCTTTATATTTGTCTTTTGGTTGCTTGGGGACAAGCAACKGTTCAAGTTTGGGGGTATGATATGTGTTGAGAATTTAACACATAACGCGCTCTTTTTAGGACTTTTTAGTTACGTTAATTTCTTTTCATTCCCAAATTGAGTCATTTTCATTTATTTCTTTATACTTTTGTTATTATGAAGCTAAATGTTGTGGTTGACTTGATGGCATGCATAAATTGAAGCTAATTAGAAGTTTTTGTGAAAACAGCAAATGCTAGAGCATTGGTGCAGCGTTGGCCTGGGTCTTGCACGACTTTTTGGAGGGCTTAATGAACAAGACGTTGGCTTTTTGGAGATGGAGTACAGCTGTAAATGGGCTGGATTTTTAGTAGAAAATCAGATGTACTCTCTAGTTAAACTCATGTACTCTCTAGTTTGCTTTATGTACTTTGTAGTTAAACTTTAGTTATGTMTTGTACTTTTTAGTTAAAGCTTTAGTTGTATTGTAACTAGTGTTGGTAAGCTTAGTCTCCAAGCTTTGTTCTTTTGTCTTTTTGTGCCCATTTTGGGTATAAATAGGAGGCTAAGGTTACCACATTTCTCACCCCAATTTAATCCRTCATACTTTGGATTCTCACTTTTCTCCCAACTTTTCTCCCAACTTCTCTTCCTTTTCCTTTAAACCCTCTTCAAGGGTGTTCTTCAAGTTCTTCAAGTTCATCTTCATCTTTTTATTTATTTAATTTCTTGTCTTTTATTTTCCGCTATTTATTTTCTCGTCTTTACATTTCCGTCATTTACATTACGTTATTTACATTCCGTCGTTTATTTTACGCTATTTATATTCTCGTCATTGACATTCCCGTCATTTACTTTATTGTCATTTACATTTCCGCAATTTATTTTATCGTCATTTATTTTACGCAATTTACATTT